AGCAGGATACCGGATACCAGCTGCAGACCACCCTACTGGATGTCACCAAGACTGAGAGCATCCGGGCAGCGGCCCAGTGGGTGAGGGACCAAGTGGGCGAGCAAGGTGGGGTGACTGCATTTGGCTTTCTCAGTCTCTCTCTCTCCTCTCTCCCTTTCTCCCCCATAGTATCTGACAGTATCAAGGACCCTGTTGTCCAGGCGGGTGGGACAGGTTATGAAGAGAAAGGGGCTGGTGCTCTGGCTCCACTGGATTGGAACCTGACTGCATGGGTTAGCCCGTTCACCTGAAATAGTGACTTTCTAGAGAAGTATCTACCCTCGGAAACTTAGAGGGCCAGGAGAGAGATGGCAATAGGAGGTAGGGGAGAGAAAGTGTGTTCCATAGGTTCAAACCTCCAAAGATGAAGATGACCCTCTGAGTCTTCAGTAGCCCTAACTATTACCTCCTATAGAAATATGAGCATGTTTGTTGCTGGGATCAGGCTCGGGAAAGAGGACAGGGGTAACAAGGAAAGAGGACAGGGGTCACAAGATTGGACCCCATGAATGGGGGTACATGTTTTTGCATGGGTGGAGAAAGGAGAGATCTCTTCCTTAGACAGGAGGTTTGGTTTGACACTGGGGCAAGTGCCTATGTCAGAGTGGCTGCTCTCCCTGGGGAAAGAGGATTGAGTTGGGACTGGACCAGGGTTGCATGGGAACTTGCACGTTGAACTTCCAGGGTGTGGGTGCAGGAATGGGAGGAACAGGATGGCTCAGTTGCAAAAGCAGCAGCCTGGGAGGAGTCATTACTCCCAGAAGACCTAGGCTAGGACCCCTGAACAGGTAGGCACAGTAGAGCCCGGGGGCCCAGGAGAAGCCAGACAGTAACTCTCAGCTATTTCTCTTTAGCATTTATTACCATACGATATACATGGGGAATTCAAAAGTTCGTGGGAAATGGAATTAAAACACGAGTTTATTTTGGTGCCAAAAAGTTTCAAAATCTTGGTATAGTTTTTTTCATAGTATACATTTCCATGAGCTTTTTGAAAGCTTCTTGTATGCTACGTTTTACTAGTTTTCCTTATTTATAGTCTGTTTCTCCTGTCAAGAATAAAGTTTCCTGGGGGCAGCCGTTTTTGTTTCTTTCTTTCATTTACTCCATTTCCTTAGTACCAAGAATAATGCTTGCAGCTAGTCAAGTGTTCAATAAATAGTTGTTGAATTAACTAATTAATGAATAATTCAGCAAAGGTGAATCTTGTTCTTTAACAGGCTGCCTCAGCCAGCCTCCCTACATTGAGCCTTGAGCCACTCATGTTGACTCACTGGATAGATTAGTTTCTTAATCCTGTAACAAATAAACCCAAACACAGTAACTTAACACACATTTATTACCTTGTAGTTCTGGAGGAGAGCAGTCCAAAATGGGCTGTACTGGGCTAGACCAAAGCTATTGGCATGGCAAGGTCCTTCTGGAAGTTCTGGGGAACGCATTGCATTGCCTTTTCTTTCTTTCATCCTTTTTTTTTGGTCGTTTGTTATTGGGCATGTGTGCTCACTGGGGAGACAGAGACAGAAAGGGGGATGGCCATGCCACAATCTGTTCTCCATTCTTCTCTCAGGATTCTGGGCACACGTGTATACGTGCCTGGCATGAGTTTCAAGCTGCCACATCTGGGGTTCGAACCACGTAAAAAAAAGTGGGAGTCCATCACCTTAACCACTACACTATCTGCTGGCCCCTGCATTGCTTTTTCTAGCTTCTAGAGGCCACCTGCATTCCTTGGTTCATGGCCTCTTTTTCCAGGAAGGTTGTGCCAGGTCCTTTTCATGCTTTTTCTGTCTCTCTGGTTCTCTAGCTTCTGCCTTTTTTCTTCCACTTAGAAGGACCCTTATGATTATCTTGGGCTTATCAAGCAACTCTACCCAAGGTCGGTTGATTAAAAACCTCTTTCCCATGTAACCCAACATATTCACAGGGTCCAGAGATTAGCATGGGACATCCTGAGGGTGCATTATTCTGCCTGTGTCACTAGGCTTTCTGTTTTTAGCATCACCCTCCACCTAGTGGAATTTTACCTAAAAGCTCTGTGTAAAATAAATGAAAGAATACTTCCTCCTGCATCTCCCTCCTCTGGCAAGGTTAAACAGCTGGGGGGCCAGCAGGTGGTGTACTGGTTTAGGCACTAGACTCCCACATGGTTAACTGTTCTTCGAGTCCCAGATCCAGCAGCTTGAAACACTCCAGGCACATGTGCGTGCATGGCCATCCCTCCCAGGAGGTGATTTCTTACTTTCTCTCTCTCAATCTCTCTCTGTCTCTGGCAAGTGTACATGTCCTATAGCAAAACAAAAACAAAAACAAAACAAACAAAAAACACAGGTTGTGAAAAAAAAACAGTCTAATCTAGTGTGATGAAAACCCTGAGGCCCAGAGATGGAAAGTGACTTGCCCAAGGTTAGAGGTAGGACTAGAACTAAACTTGGGCCTTTCCAACCCTAAGGCCTTACAGAGCCGAATCACAATACTTAACATTGTCTTTCTCCCTCTGTACCAACCCAGTTTAAAATATCTCAAAGACAATCCTTACCACATTTTCTATAATTATGTTTTTAATAATTTCTATAATTATTTAAATGTTTTATCCATTTACTTATAAATATTATCATTTCCCCTCTGATGTGTGAGACCCTTGAGGAATAAGACCCCATCTTGCTCATTTTATGTCTCCTTTGCCTGGTAGTTGGCACAGAATAAATGCATGTGTGAATGAAGTATGAATGAGTGAATGAATGGATGGATTAACTTGAGGGAGTATGGGAAATGAAGTTGATTTCTTACACTTAAGTGAATAGAGGGACAAGCATGACCGGGGGGAAGGAACTCAAATATTAATTCATTGGTATGAAAATGTTCTCTTTTACCCCAGAGCTAACAGCTTGGGTACTAGTTACAGCCTAGAGCCCCAGCTAGATGGCAGACCTTACATAACTCAGAAAATCATCTCTTCAGGGAAACCTAATTAGTAAAGGCACAGCTTCCTCAAGCTGTTATAGCTGCTCACCCCACACCCCAAGCCTGGCCATCTTGTGCCTACTACACCTGCTCAGCCATCCTAGGTCCTTCAGCTGTAGGAAGTGGACCTAGAGATTGCCCAGAGACACTGTTGATTTCTACATGGTTCTCCCTCCCTCTGTCTTGCCCCCAGGCCTCTGGGCCCTGGTGAACAATGCTGGTGTGGGCCTACCCAGTGGTCCCAATGAATGGCTGACCAAGGAGGACTTTGTGAAGGTGATCAATGTGAACCTGGTGGGACTCATCGATGTGACTCTCCACATGCTGCCCATGATCAAGAAAGCCCGGGGCAGGGTCGTCAACATGTCCAGCTCTGGTGGTCGTGTGGCTGTCATTGGTGGTGGCTACTGTGTCTCCAAGTTTGGCGTTGAGGCCTTCTCTGACAGCATCAGGTGACTGGGCCTTGGTATAAGCCACTCCGTGTGGGAATCCTGTGCTGGGGATGACAGAGTGTAGGCAGGAGAATTATGCAGGGAGGAAGCTAAAATACTACCAGAAACCCTCCCTCCCCCACAAGAGAAGAAGGGATGAGAAGAGATGGGCTGGAGATAGGAGGCATCAGGTGAGCCTTCCCTTGAGCTGCCCAGAATTAGCAAAACCCTCTTTGGGCCTGAGAGAGAAGGAGCCAGAGTCCCCAAGGTGGAGAGACCTGGGAGACCCTCAGAAGAGGATGCAGGCCTTACATAGATCCCTTCACTGCTTTCACCATATGGGTGTTGGGTGGGGCTGAGAGTGGGAGGGATCTGGTGGGAAACAAGGCCTTGGCCTAGATTTTCTCTGACTTCTTTCCTGCTGGGTTTTCCCAGAGGATGCAAGACCAGTTTGGGAAAGGGCTGAAGCCCTGAAGAAGAGCTTATTTGCATGAAAGCCATGCCCAGACCAGGGGCAGAAATGGGGTGGAACACCTCTGGGTTCCTGGGGAGACAGGATGTGATGTGACTCTCCCCAGTGACTGTCATCTTGAGACCTAGCCTGAATCCAAGTCTTCTTTCCTAGGCGTGAGCTCCACTACTTTGGTGTGAAGGTCAGCATCATAGAGCCGGGGAACTACCGGACATCCATTCTAGGCAAGGAGGGCATGGAGTCGCGTATGCAAAAGCTGTGGGACCGGCTGCCTCAGGAGACACGGGACAGCTACGGAGAGGAGTACTTCCGCATCTGTAAGTCCCCAGGCCGGGAGAGGGCAGGGAGACCTGGAGGGTCATTGACTGGCTTTCAGTTTATAGACGATGGAGTGAAAGTGGTCTGTTCAGGGATCCAGACCACTAGTGACAAAGCAGGGGTTTGAAGATAGGGACCAAGTGACAACCACTGGCAGTGGCAGAACCATCACTGCTGAGGAAATGGTGGGTTAGGAGAGATACTGCCCACTCATGGCACCTGCCCTCAAAGCTACACAGGTAATTGAGGTGAAAATGCACTACGATTAGTATTAAGCAGTGGTTAAGAGCTTAACTGCTGGAGCCAGACTGTGTGGGTTCGTATCTTGACTCTCTCACTTACCAAGTAGGAGACCTAGTCTTCATGACTTCCATGTTTTCATCTATAAAATGGACCTCATGGTTGCACCCACCTCACAAGGTTGCCATGAAGACTGGCATATGAAGATCAAGCTAGCCCATGGCTGGTGATTAAGAGAGATGGATCATGGTTCTAGACTCTAGTGGGGGTTTTGAAAAACCTGTGTGGGTGCAGGCCCCAAATCCCATCCAGATGGAGAAATGGAAGAGAAGGGATTAGCAGTGACCAAATAGGAGTAATTCCTACACCTCCCCGCTACCTCTCTGGTGAGTGCACACTCTGTCTGGCAAATTATATATATATGTGTGTGTGTGTGTGTGTGTGTGTGTGTGTGTGTGTGTGTGTGTGTGTGTGTGTGTGTGTGTGTGTGCATGAAGTATAAAAAAAAGTACTTGTTAAAGAGGAAAATTAAGATGCAGGTATTTAAAAGGGAGGGTCTCTAAATAGGTCGCTAAAGTTCCCTTTCTTTTCCTTAGTTGAATTCTCTCTGGCGAATTTTAGGGATTTGGGGGAATAGAAGGGGCACCAGAGCTCTTTACTGTGCTGCTTAAAAACTCTGGGGACCAGCAGTTGGCGTAATGGCTATGTCGCTGGACTCCCATGTAGTCAACCGTGGTTCGAGTCTCGGACCCGGTGGCTTAAACTCACGCCAGGTGCGTGTACGTGCATGGCCAAGATCCTGAGAGGAGAATGGAAGAGAAGGGATTGAGGCATGGCCATCCCCCCTGGGGGGTGATTTTTCACTTTCTGTCTCTCTGTCTCTCTCTGTCTTTCTGGTGAGCACATGTGCCCTATAGCAAAAAAAAATTCTAAAAACAAACAAACAAACAAACTTTGTGTTGTTCCTGTGGTTTGGGGATGAATAGAGTGCTGGCCATTAGGAAACCTGAGAGAACATGGCCTGGCAGCATAGCAGAGGAGGAATCAACCCATAGACCTGGTGGCATATCTCCTGGTGGGACAAAGGCCACTCTGAGGACCAGAGGCCCCACATTCACTCAGAGCATCTATCTCAAAACTGAGCCAGCTGGATACAGGAAGGGACGATCCACAAGACTTCCCAGTTCTCTCATTCCTTGACTTAAAGGGCCTGCAGGGAAACCAGCCCTATGAGCCACCCCTGAAGCTGCCGCTGAGCAGGGCAACCTCTGTCAGTAGAAGCTGGTGCTGGCACGATCAGCTGTGCTTCTCTGGTAGCCTTTCCCCTTCTCCAGCTGCTGCCAAGGTAGTGCTGGCACTCTGCCGGCTCAGGAACTTTCTGAGCCACAGGGAAGCAGCCATGCCCCCAGCTCTGTTCCTGCTTTCCTTGGGCCTCAGCAGTCTTCCCACATTTCTCAAACCCAGATTGTCCCCCCTCTTTTACGTGGGTTTCACAATCCCCAAGAGACAGTTTTCTGTTGTGGTTAAGAAATTAGACTCTGGGAACCAGCAGTTAGCGTAATGACTATGTCACTGGACTCCCACGTAGTCGACAGCGGTTCGCGTCCCGGACCCGGTGGCTTAAAACTCACGCCGGGCGCGTGTGCGTGCGTGCCCAAGATCCCAAGAGGAGAATGGAGGAGAAGGGATTGCGGCATGACCATCCCCCCTGGGGGGTGATTTCTCGCTTTCTGTCTCTCTGTCTCTCTCTGTCTGTCTGGCAAGGGCACGCACCCTATAGCGAAAAAACTCTCCAAAAAGAAAAAGAAAAAAATTAGACTCTGAACTAGGCGGCCTGGCTGCAGATTTCTGCTGCCTGCTGGCCTCAGGTATTCTAGTTTTTCGCCTGCAGTGAGTCATGGGAATTAAGTGAGTTAGTAACTATAGTAGGCGCAGTGCATCTGATAGCCCCGGCAGAATACTTTGGAGCCACGTAGTGTGATACATCCAGCTTTGCTCTTTTTGCTCAGGGCTGGTTTGACTTTTCAGTCTTTTATGGTCCATGAATTTTGTGACTTTTTTTCCTGTTTCTGTGAAGAATGTCATTGGTATTTTGATAGGGATTGCATCAAATATATCATCAACTACTTTTAAATACACTTTCTTCCAAGTGACTGCACTCTAATTTTCACTGTAGTTACCCAGTGATTATTGGGGTACAGAGATGAGTCAAAGCCTCCCGTAATCTAGCAGAGCAGATCTGAGAGCAAATATAATGTACAGAAAATTGTACATAATGGTCACATGTAAAATCAAAAAGCAGCAGTGTAGAGACTTACTTCTGGGCCAACCGGGGCATGGTGGTGAAGGTGGGTGGATCTCAAATGGCTGACTACATGGTTCAAATCCCAAACCTGGCAGCTTGAAAAACATGCCAAGTACATGTACAAGTGTGCCCCAAATCCCAAGAGGAGAATGAAAGAGAAGGGACTGCTGCATGGCCATCCTGCCTCAGGGATGCTTCCTCACTTTCATTCTCTCTCTCTCTGTCTCCAGCAAACATACATGCCCCATAGCAAAACTGTTTTAAAAAGAGAGAGAGAGGCTTAGTTCTGTTGTCACAAAAGCCTCAGAGGTGACAGTTACTGCCTTAATGAGTTTTGAATGATGAATAGGAGTTGACTAAAAGGAAAAGAGACAACAGATGTTTCCTACCGAAGGAAATGTGCGAGCCACATTCTGGAGACCTGACATAGCTGTGTGTTCTCTTGGAGGCCGTGTAGACTCAGGATCTGGATTCCAGGCATCTTTCTAATCCTGTTACATAACTCTCTAAACTTCTGTTTATTTATTTACAAAGTATAATAATCTCATGAATTGTTAGAATAATTAAATAAAAATGCACACAACTCAGCCATGGTGAGAGCTCAGCAAACCTCAACTGTTGTTATTATTACTAGTCTGGGGGCCAGCAGTTGGTGTAATGGCCATGTCACTGGACTCCCATGTAGTTGACCACAGTTCGAGTCCTGGACCTGGTAGCTTAAACTCATGCTGAGGGTGTGTGTGCGTGCCCATGATCCTAAGAGGAGAATGGAGGAGAAGGGACTGTGATGTGGCCATCCCCTCCCCCGGGAAGGGGGGGATTTCTCGCTTTCTGTCTCTCTGTCTCTCTCTGTCTTTCTGGTGAGTGCACACGCCCTATAGCAAAAACCTCTGCAAAAATAAATAAACAACAACAAAAACTAGTCTGCAAGAGAGAAGTGTGGGCCTGTTTGCTGTAGCTCAGCAGTAGCACAAATGCCCTGCAAGGCTGGAAGCCATATAGTCAACCATGGGTTCAGACCCCTGAGTTGGCCTGCAAACATCCCACACTCAGGATCCTAAGGAGCTAGAAAACTGGGGAAAGGGGATTGAGGCATGATGAGACTCTGCTGAACATGCTCCTCTCTCTCTCTCTCATGCACAGGCATACACTGTACCTCATAAAAATAACACGAACAAGAAACTGGCCGGGGGTGGGAGCTGTGCTTCTCCTAAGCAATGCTAACCAAGCCAGGCTGTGGCTCCAGACTTCAGGTCTGTGAGTATGAGAATATTGCAGTCTGTTCGCAGCCTGCCCAGTCGGTCTGTGTGCCAGCTCAGGAGTGAGTCCATGCCAGTTACCATGCCAGTTGCTATTAACTAGTTATTTCCAATGTGGTTCTATTTTGGGTATAGATAAAAATGACTCCAAGAAATGTGAGGGCTCGTCCTGGAGTTCACCCAGCCAGGGGCCTGCTTGGTAGGCCACGGCAGCTTGCTAGAGTTTGCGCCCAGTGGTGCTGAATAACCACTCCTAGATATTTCTTCAGTCTTTCCCTCCCGACGCACAGACTTCCTTCCCCCACCATGCTTATCACTCCTTCCTGGGTTTCCGCAGTAGCCTTCCAGCAATGATGCAAATTGGATCAGATCATTTCAGAGCCATTTAAGATTCTCCAACACTTTCAGGATAAGAGCCATACTCCTTAATGTAGCTATCAAAGGCGGTCCTGGTCTGATTTCTGATTTCTCCTTCCTCAGTCCCCTCCCCCTGACAAGTTTCTTGTTTCATCTCAACTCTGCTGGGGAGGCCATCAAGAAATTCCCCTTTTATATCCTCTTTCTTATTGGAGACCATCTAGATCAGAATCCTAGGATCTGTCCCTGGCATAGGAGAATGGGACAGAAACTCAGCTATTGGGGCCAACCAAAGTGCCAAGAATATGGTCCCTGATACTTTAGGGACTTTATTTTGCTTAATTCCCACAATAGCAAAAACATTTTCCCAGACACCCAAATCCGAAGCCCATGTTCTTTACTGTCAGGGGAGCGGCAGGGGCTCAGATCTGTCTTCCTGCCCACTCTGTGCCTAGTAGGGTGCCCAGCACTAGATAGGCGCTAATAATTATCTGAGAGAGCAATGGAAGACAGTGCCTCAGGGCCAGCCCATGGTGTGCTGGTTAAGGCACATGGATCCCACATAGCTGACTATGCAGCTCGAGTCCCAGATCCAGTGACTTGAAAAGCACTCTGGGTATGTGTTGCTCTGTAGACTGTCTGTAAGTTAGCGTGGCAATTTTGAGACCCAAAAATTATTTTGTCTTTTTCACCACAGCAGTTTTCTCTCCAGGAAACAAAAAGGGAGTTCCTTAGAGTCTGGGAACACCATCCTGCCACCAACCACCATAAGACCCTGACACGTGCCCAGTGTGAATTTCAAGCTGCCAGGTTTAGGACTCAAATAGCAGTAAACTATGTGGGAGTTCAGTGCCACCACCACTGCGCCCCCTGCTGGATCTCTCTTTGCTATTTCCAGGGCAGGTGTTATTATTCCCATTTTGGAGATAATGAAAGTTTAAGCTCAAGGTCTTAGAACTAATAAAGGGCCCAGCTAGCGAACTAACCACACACAGTCTTCTCATTGCTAATCTAATGCAATAGTAGGAATTCAATGCACAGTGGCCGAATTTGGGGAGAGAAATAATCTGTTAACGGTGTGTGTGCAGGAACAACCGGGAGCATACAGCAGATATGAAAAGTTTTGCGGGAGATTTCACAAAAAGGGAGCTTGGGTGGAACTCAAAAGGAACCCTCTTGTATGAAGGATAACAGCGCCTTTTGCTTTTCATCTCCGTACCTTCTAACAGATACTGACAAGTTACAAAACACGATGCAGCTGGCAGATCCGAAAATCAAAGAGGTCACAAACAGCATGGAGCATGCCATTGTTTCCCGGACCCCCCGCATCCGCTACAACCCTGGCCTGGATGCCAAACTCCTCTACCTCCCCTTGGCCAAGTTGCCCACTGCTGTGACAGACTTCATCCTGAGCCGGTACCTTCCAAGGCCAGCCGACAGCATCTGAACTGGGAAAGCTCAAGAGGCAGTCGTGAAGTATAGAAGAGTAGGTGGGAGGAAGGATTGTGGGGTCACGAGAGGTGGTACTGGACATCCCAGGGGTACTGGCCGAAAGGGACGCTTGTCTTGGCTGACATCCCCTGCTGGCCAGTTTACCAGGAACTTCTAACAGAAGATGAATGTCTCTTCCCACCTGCTGAGACCCTGTGGAAATCCAGGGGTCTTTGCAAGTTCAGAGACCTGTGACAAGGCCTCGAGGACTCTTTCACTCAGTCAGAATATGGCTTTTTCTGGACCTGGAAAAGTCAAGGAGGGGAAAGCCAGTTCCTGCTAAATCCTGAGACCTCAGGTGTCCCTGCCTCTGGGAATCAGGTGGGTTAGTCTAGCCCATGGGAGAGTCTCAACCACCTTCCTGCTGGGTCTCTATATGCACTGACCTTGTGAACATAACCCATTACTGAAGCATGGAGAAGGGCAGACAGGGAGTGCAGGGTTCTATCAGGCAAAAGTTTTAAAAGTTTCTCTCTTTAGATTTCTCTCTTCATATGTGATTGGGAGCCCCATGAAATAATACTCATTTATATTTAATTCCCATTGATTGATTCTTCAAATGTATTGAGTGCCTGCTACCTACCAGGTACGATGTATGTGGGGGGGGGGGATTATAAAATTGATTAAACCATGGTCTTGTTTTTTTTATTGTTTATTTTGTGTTATGTTTAATAACAATATCTAGCAACAGAGACAGGACAGTGGCAGAAGGAACAGAATATCAGAAAGTAAATTTTTAGAGCTGTCAGGGACACTTAAGATCTCCATGCAGTAGTTCCCAAATTGGCTGTACATAATAATCAACCTGCTAATTCAAAATACGGACTCCTGGGCCGGTGGGCGGTGTGGTGGTTAAGGTGTGAAACTCCCATATGGCCAACCATGGTTTGAATCTCGGACCAGGCGGCTTATTTTCTCACTTTCTCCTCCACTCCCACCCCCCGTGAGCTCATGTGCCCTATAGCAAATTTTAAAATAATAAGAATAATAAATAAAATTAAATAAATAATTCTTTTTTCAAAAATATAGATTTCTAATTATGTTAAAAAATCTGATTCAGTAGGCCTAGACTAGGCTCAGAAATACGTATTTGTAACAAAGACCTAGATGATTTTGGTGTACTTAGGTACTTGGGAACCACAGATAGCTCTGCAAAAGGAGTAACTGATGCTCAGGACAGGAAATGACCTGCCCAAAGCCCCACAGCTTAGTGGTTAAGACAGGGACATAACTCAGGTGTTCAGACTCCCAGACCAGGGTTCTTTCTTATTTATAGGAGAGTCAATTTCTAAAGTTAGTAACTTTGTCAAATAAATCATGGAGATAAACTTTTTTTTTTTTTGAGAGGTTTTTTGCTATAGGGCGTGTGCGCTCGCCAGACAGACAGAGAGAGACAGAGAGATAGAAAGCAGGAAATCACCCCCCAGGTGGGATGGCCACGCCGCAATCCCTTCTCCTCCATTCTCCTCTCGGGATCTTGGGCACGCACACACACGCGCCCGGCGTGAGTTTAAGCCACCGGGTCCGGGACTCGAACCGCGGTCGACTACGTGGGAGTCCAGCGACATAGCCATTACGCTAACTGGTCCCGAGATAAACTTTTTAAAAAAGTCTTAAACTTCATGGGAACCAGCAGTTAGTGTAATGGCTATGTCGCTGGACTCCCATGTAGTTGACTGCAGTTCACGTCCTGGACCTGGTGGCTTAAAACTCACACCGGGCGCGTGTGCGTGCGTGCCCAAGATCCCGAGAGGAGAATGGAGGAGAAGGGATTGCAGCGTGACCATCCCCCCTAGGGGGTGATTTCTCGCTTTCTGTCTCTATCTCTCTCTCTGTCTTTCTGGCGAGCACACGCGCCCTATAGCAAAAAACTCTCCAAAAAAAAAAAAAAGTCTTAAATTTCTGAATCATCTGAAGTTCTGTTGCAAATACTTTTTTTTTAATCTTGATGAATGTTCATGTAAAAAAAGGTAAAAAGTGAATTATTTTCATTAAAATGTCTTTAACTCGTACCTCTTTAACATCTGAGTAAACTTGAAAATAATAAAATGTTGGGATCAGCAGTTAGCATAATGGCTGTGTCGCTGGACTCCCATGTAGTCAACCACGGTTCGAGTCCCGGACCCAGTGGCTTAAACTCATGCCAGGTGTGTGTGCGTGCATGCCCAAGATCCCAAGAGGAGAATGGAGGAGAAGGGATTGTGGCGTGGCCATCCCCTCTGGGGGGTGATTTCTCGCTTTCTATCTCTCTGTCTCTCTCTGTCTTTCTGGCGAGCGCACACACCCTACAGCAAAAACCTCTCCAAAAAAAAGAGAGAGAAAAAAAATAATAAAATGTGGACCAGCAGATGGCATGATGGTTGTTATATCACTAGATTCCCACATAATGGACTATGGTTCAAGTCCTGGACCCAACAGCTTAAAACTCACACCTGGCATGTGTGCCCAAAATCCCCAGAATAGAATGGAGGAACGGGGACTGCGGCATTGCCATCCACCCCCTGGGGGTGATTTCTTGCTCTCTGTCTCTCTGTCTCTCCAGAGAGTACACACGCCCAACAGCAAAAATGTCTTCTAGAAGAAAAAAGAAAGTAAGTAAAAGAAAGGAAAAGAATAAAATGTAGCTTAATTGCATTTAAAAAGACTCTTTTTGGGACCAGCAGTTGGCATAATGGCTATGTCACTGGACTCCCATGTAGTTGACTGTGGTTTGAATCCCGGACCCAGTGGCTTAAACTCATGCCGGGCGCATGTGCATGCATGCCCAGGATCCTGAGAGGAGAGTGGAGGAGAAGGGATTGCAGCGTGGCCATCCTCCCTAGAGGGTGATTTCTCGCTTTCTGTCTCTCTGTCTCTCTCTGTCTCTTTGGCGAGCACACATGCCCTATAGCAAAAACCTCTCAAAAAAAAAAAAAAAAAGACTCTTTTTCCAAATAAGGTGAAATCCACAGGTTCATCCACAGGCTCCAGGATTGGCATGTAAACATTTTTTTGGTGGGGCCACGTCCAACCCACTGCACTCTGCTATTTACAGCTCTTCTACACCTGACACCAGACTCTGATCCAGGTATAATGCACTGAGCAACAAGTAACAGGAAAGCCAACTCACATTGGCTTAAACAGTAAAGAGGGAGGGCAGGACCCAATGACCAAATAATTGATCAAGGTGTAGGTTCTTTCTTCTTCACTCTGTTGCCCACAGTTGTGGCTTTATCCTGAGGCTGTGGTGTGACTGCCACCAGCAGTGGGACTCTGTGCTTCCTCACTCACAATTTGAAGGTGAAGAGTCTGCCCTTCCATGGCATTCAAGATGGAGAACGTTTCTCAGAGCCCTTATCAACACTCTCCTTGGCTCCTGACGACCCAAATCGGCTTAGGCTTGTTTACCTTTGATTCAATCGCTGATGAGGGGGGCCAATTGCAATAAATGGCCTAATCATGGGACAGGATGGAGAAGTTGGACAGTCGGTCCCAATGCCTACTACCCTGAAAAATTCAAAGCTCAAACCTCTATGCCATTGAGAGGGTGGAACAAAGGTCGGAGATAAACTTTATTGAAGATAGGAGAATGTATTAAAGAGAAACTATAGACAGATAATATCTGAGATGTTAATTTATAGTTTTTCATTGCTAACTTTTCCAATGTCCCCATTCCTCATTCAAGGAGGGAACCATCTGACCCTTCTTTTTTTTTTTGGAGAGATTTTCACTGTAGGGCGCGTGCGCTCGCCAGACAGACAGAGAGAGACATAGAGACAGAAAGCGAGAAATCACCCCCCCCCAGGGGGGATGGTCACGCTGCAATCCCTTCTCCTCCATTCTCCTCTCGGGATCTTGGGCACGCACGCACACGCGCCCGGCGTGAGTTTTAAGCCACCGGGTCCGGGACACGAACCGTGGTCGACTACGTGGGAGTCCAGCGACATAGCCATTACGCTAACTGCTGGTTCCCCTTTATCTAGGGTGAGATATTTAACAGAATAGACAGGACTTTTCCCTTACAACGAGGAGGTTCACTCTGGCTAGTGAGAGAAAAGAGTGAAGCTTAGAGCTTCCAGAGCAAGAGGGACAAGGGTCTACTTTCTGGAATCAATTTGGGAGATGGCAAGACTGAAGAGCGTTACAGCTGCATTGTATGTTTAGGCAGAGGAGACCCTGGGTGACCTCACAGAAGACGGGCATGTCCCACCATGGTGGGAAGGTAGTAGAGACTGCCTACAAGGGGCACATAGTCCAAGAGAACAGACTTTTAAGTGGTAACCTGTGCAGACCGAAGACCTAATTTCTTAGTCTGAGGGTCATACCTCCACCTCATCATTAAGAGTTGAGTCCTTTTTAAATTTGTAGACAGATTCATATCTGCTCCAGTGTTTTAGTTCATTTCCTATTTGAAGCACATATAACTTTTAAATTTTCATAAAGTTTTAAATTGACTTTCATTTTCTTGTTCATTTAACTTCTTAGTCTTTATATTTTTTTTTTTTTTTTATTTTTTTTTTTGTTTTTTTTTTTTTTTTTTTTAGGGTTTTTGCCATAGGGTACATGTGCTCTCAGGAGAGAGATAGAAGGAAAGTGAGAAATTACCCGCCCCCCCCAGAGGGGATGGATGGTTGTGTCATAATACCTTCTCCACTTGTCTCTTGAGATCTGGGGTATGTGTGAACGTGCACATAATATGATTTTCAAGCAGCCATATGGGAGTCCAGTTCCTTAACCATTATGCCACCTGCTGACTCCTCTCCTTATTTTTTAAATCAAGGGAGTAATGTGATCTGATTTACATTTTTAAAAGGCTACCACAGGGACTCTGTGAAGACTGAAATGATCAATGATGGAAGCAAGGAGACACATAAGAAGGCCATTGGATAATCCAGGCAAGAGAAGATGGTGCCTGAGGTTAAAGTGGTGGTGGTGGGAATGATGAGAATGGATGAGATCCGTATATAATTTTGAGGTAGAACCACTGAATGATTTTTTAATCAGTGAGCCAATCTGTCCAGAAGAATTTGCTGTGCTGGGCATGATTCCGGATGTTGGAATTACATAGTAGTTAAGATAGAGTCCTTGACCTCCAAGAGTTTATTTTGTAATGGGGGGAGGGGGGCGGTTAAACATGTAAAGAAAAGAACTAAGTAATTTTATACACTGATTAGTGCCATGAAGAAGAGAAAAGATAGAAATGTAGTAGATTGCTAGGGAGACTGCTTACTTTTTTCCCCCATCACCATTATTAAAGTAAAATTTATTAAAACCAATTGCATTCATATAAGTGTGTCGTATGATGAGTCTTAACATATAGATATCATTGTGCCTATCCTAAGTACTTTCATCTTCACAACAATCCTAAAAGGTAGATATTATTCTAGGATTTTTAAAGTTTTTATTTGTTCCTTTACTCCATGAGCAAGAGAGACAGAGAGAGAAAGATGGAGAGAGAGAGACAGAGAGACAGCATCCCCAGTAGGGTCTTGATGCTGAATTCTACCTCCAGCCTCATCCATACCCAGAGGACAGGCATCCAGTTCCCCAGTGTACTCTGGGAAGTCTCTGGCCCTGAACCAGAAACCTTCTATGT